AAGAATACCAACTCAAAGACACAGAAAATATATTCAACAAAATCATAGAAGAAAACTTTCCCAACTTAAAGAAGGAAATACCTATAAAGATACAAGAAGCTTATAGAACACCAAATAGACTAGACCCCCCCCAAAAAAGTACCCTCGCCAATAATAATTAAACGAAAAGGAGTTTAAACAACCAAAACCACTTATTTTTTATACTTAAAATTTCCTTGAGGCATTAATGTGCATTTACCTTTGAATGTACCAATTCTTTGCATCAAGAAAAGGAAAACAGAATTTAAATCCTGACCTTTTAAATGAAAGTTCAGTATTTACAGTGACACACATATTATTTCCCTTTTAAATGGCAGTTCCTTCATATCAGCCTGTGCTACCAATGACCATAACACAAAAGTTTGGCATTTCTAATAGGAATAATGGAGCTGTTTCACTGATGCCAAAGCTAAATCACACAAATAAAAACCAGCGCCATAAGCACAAGAGAGCAGACTTCCTCAACAGAACTCAGTATTTCCTGAGAAGAAAAGGCTGAAATTGTTATCAGTGAAAGACTCTACGTCACAAGAAAACATAAATCAAATACTCACTGGATCTTTTATGTAAGTTTAAAAACCTAATCCCTATTCTGGCCTCAAACTTGACTCATTTGAGATCCTTCAAAACTAATAATTACTGAGAAACTTCTATGTACATCTTAATGATGTTCTTATTTTTCAAAATCCCGCCTAATTGAGAGTTAGGCTTCCTGAAAGTATCTTCCAAGAAATTGCTTAGCAGTAGATGAAGACAAAAGGAGCATTTTTTAGATGTGATGAACAATTATGTTATCTATAGCACACACACACACACACACACACACACACACACACACACACACACACACTCACTATGGAATGACTGAGTCCCTATTCTTCTGCTAGCATGCTATGTGGTTACAGAAAATTAATACAGCATGTTCATTGAGAAGGACATTTTTCTCTAAGGCATTCAGAGAACACAGACAGTCTAGAGGACTCTGAGTAACAGCCTGGATTCATGAGTGTTTACCTGTGCAATCCCATGCTTCCTTAGACTGTATAGTTGAATAACAGACTCTGCCATGTTCAAAGACATTTTTCTAAAGAAACCCTGCAAACCAGGTAACCAACATGACTGGGTTTGATCTATAACCTCACTGTTGAAAAGGTATAGAGTTAGTCTGAAAGGAAGAACTTCCTTGGCTATAACAAAGGAGTAGCAGCTACTTCAGATGAGATACCCTATGTGAAAATAAATGGGTTGAGACTGGTACATAAATAACATGGAGCTAGACAAGTCCTTTCTTTTAGGGATCCAAGGTATTCAGAAACTATCAGAAAATCATAATTAGGAATAGCTAAAGTAAAAATTTAAAACTTACAATCCATATATTTGTGGTGCAATTTCTAGTCTGTTCAGGTGCATGTAGAGCTCAATATCGTGTTTCTTCAGTAGATGATCCTGGATCTGATTGACTTTAGTAACAATGGCAACTGTTGGTCCTAAATCCTGGGGTCTAGCAAAGGGGATGGGGGTCATCAGAGTTTCTTTTCCCTGAAAATAAGAAAAATAGAACATGCATTATTTCAATTTGATATTAAGAAACATGGACATTGGTTTTTAACTGATCCAAAGAACCAACACTACTGTATCATAACAAAGGCATGACACCCAAACACAGACAGGGGGCGCTTGTGCTCATAAGGCCATAGCCAGGGTATGTCTTCTAAGTATCTTTCACTTGAATAGTTTCTCTTGTGACATTAACTTTTCCAGGAGAATTTGGCTAGAGGCAGTGAAGCTGTCAAGCTGCCCCTGGCCAGCTAATCTGTTTAGCCACAGCATATAAGTGTAACCCTTGGATGTAAGTGCACTTCTTGTGGCAATTAAAACTGAAACTCCAAATGAAAACTATACAAAAGGGGAAAAACTAAAGAGATCATTTTAGAAATGTTCTCTTCTCTGTCTTTTTGTCAGTTGAAGTAGGTAAGAAAAGATGAGTAACTGTAACTGTTTAACGTCCTTTAAACATTCTTTTCCCACCACTTCCAGTCTTCATGGACTCCACAAGCCTGACCCACCTGGACCTTGAGTCCTTTGTTTCTATGTCTCTGAAACTGGCATTTGTAGCATCCCTCACTAGGGATTCTTAGTTTACCACTGGGTTTGAATCTAATGTTCAAAGAATACTGTGTATGCTTCTTCTCCCAAAGTTCCTTTTTCATATAGAAAAGTCTCAATTTTATCCTCTGCTCAAATGCTTTTCCTGAGTGATTTCAACCTTACACGGAGCTTTAATAAATATAAGTAAAATGAAAACAACTAAAATAATGTAAGAGTAAAGATATGGATATTAAATCTGTGAGTTTAAAATAATATACTAGCAAAAGAAAGGCAATCTATCTGACACAGATATTTATCAATGTGGTTCAATAGCAATGCATTAAAAAAAACTCACTAAGATTGCAATAAAAAGTTTATAATAGCCAAGTATGGTACGCATCTTTAATCCCAATACTCAGGGGGCAGAAGCAGGCAGATCTCTATGAGTTACTAACTAGCCAGGGCTAAATATTGAATCCCTGTCTCAAAAAGACAAAACAGACTTAAAAAGTTTATAATAATTCATAATTAAGTGGCAATACTGCATGAGTAATATGCATATATAAAGGAAAGGTTCCATTTACTTATATGAATCTTCATGTTGTGTTTATTTATCTACCAATATTATTAGAATGTTATAGATATTTAGATTCACTATTATACCCTAAGTATTTTCATATTATATTACAAAATGATTAGATATATTACAGTGAAATAACTACTAATTCTAATGTATGCTTTTACTTACTGTATCTGTTAATTCAAATGTATCTGTTAACTCAAGTGTGCTGAAGAGATCTGTACTATAAGAGTTACCTTTTGACCATCATGCTCAAAAGTAGAAAACCAAGGTTCAGCAGTTTCCATAAGCTGTGAGAACATTGCACTAAAAATTAGAAAAATAAAATAATTCCATATTTAATCTTCACTAAAGTACTGATGGTATAAAAAAAGAAGAAGAAAAAAGAAAAAGCAATAGTTGTAGTACTTACTAGGCATCATGCTCCAGATACTCAGGATTCAATAGAGTTTTCATTTCCTCACTTAAAAAAAAAAAGACAATTCAAACAATCAACATGAGCAAATTTTAATGACTCCAGTAGATGTATCTTCTGCCTTAGTCTGCATGCATAAGTTAACTTACACACAATGTGCAACTAAAAAGGTAGCCTTCCAAAGGTCAACTCCAATAACAAACACAATTCTGTTTTTTATAAAGATCAGAAAGAAGTTATTTGCTTGTCTGTGTCCCAATGAAGTAACAATCTAATTATTCCAGATAATGTATGGAAAGAGTGACACTATATATTCCTTGACTAACTTTGATCTAGAATAATTTTTACTCTATATCTTTTTTTTTCAAAACAAAAACTATAGTTACTAATTGAGCATGCAATACCAAAAAGTGTTTTACTGCCTTCTTTTTTATTATCTTACCATCAATTAGTCACTAACGGCACCTTTACCAAATCTACTCAATGCTGTTGTACTTTGTAATGAACTAAAATAGCAAAGTCTTCTCATTCTGAAGTTCCTTCCAATCACTTATTTGTTCTTATGAATGTATGTCACAGGCAACAGTGACAGAAATAAAACTGGCATGAAAACATGATCTCAAAACTAGTTTCATTCTTAGAGTATAGAGTAACTCAAGGCAGTTAAGAGATAAGTTACTTGTGTCAAGATTTTACGAAAACAATGAAATTAGAAAACTAGACATTATGCAACCACTAATTCATATTTTAGTAGACAAAGGTTAATATAATTTGGGCCTGTGTCCAGCAAAACAGACAGCTTACCTCTGATTAGGAAGTATACAAACATGTGTCAAGATACCAGCAGGTATTTTTCTCCTGCATACAATTCATTTCGATTAGAATACTCTTGACAATACCTCGCAATCTTAGCTCACCAGTCATAAAATGCTTCTTAGTTGCTTCACTGGTGTTTTAAGATAGATAACTAAACTTTAACAGTTACCAAAGTTAAGGCCATTTATAAAAGTCATTTATAAGAAAGAATAACTGAATGTGTCTCAAAATATGAAAAGCCACTCTATTTCACAGACCAGTGTCCTTGGTAGCACTACTCTTTTATGAATGAAGCTGAGTCAGAGCTTGTAGGGAGAAAGTTCTCATTCAACTAACAGTGAAAACTTAGAGCACAGCATATCTGAGTATTATCGATTATCAGCATTTTAAAAATTTAACAAACATTTCCTTTTTGGTCCATTACATTTATGTCTTCATTTGACAAAGTCCTAACATTTCAAAGACACTTATGATTCAAACTTGCTATAATCTAAACTAGCATTAGAATTTAACATGAATCAGTCTCATGAAATACAATCAATTGTTCACAGAATACAAACTGAAGTAGCTTCAATTTGAAGATATTTGAGATTTTTAACATAACAAAAGACACAGTGAGGGCGGAAAATCCACACAACCTCATGTAACAACTTACCTGGGCTGTGCAGACTCGCTGGCATGTAGAAAAGCTTGGTGGTCACAGTGAAGGATAAAGATGATAGGTGCTAGTAGCTCATGCATACCCTGAAACACAGGGTCAGAAGAAAGATAACAAGCCTTCACTAATAGACTATCAGCTGAGTCAAATGCTTCTGTTCTTTCGCTCCAGTGCTTGAGACTGACCCAAGGTTTCATGTGTGTCAAACAATATTTTCAGCATGTAAATACTCATTCAAACAATCTCTGCCACAAAGATGTCCATGTTATAGAGAAAAGCATCAAAGTAGAATGCTACAAAGTGAGTTCTATCACTTTTAGAATTTGATTGTAATTCCACCAGAGCATGTATTCTTCTTTAAAATATAGGAAGCATTTATCTTTTAAATGACATGACAAACAATAAATTGGCATGGTAGACAACCTTGCACCTGTCAGTTGCTTCAAGATCCGTACTCATAAATATGAATTTCACTTATGCAAATTATAATCATGAGCTACAGTGTAAAGATCTGCACTAAGGGCAATGAAGAACTGTAGACCTAAGAAATTACACCCAATGTTTTCATTATATAATGGCTCCAAATTAGGATGCCTGTAGATTTAGGAAGAGCTGAAGTCAGCTAGCTAGAAATGTTGGATAATAAGAGAAACAATCTTTAGCAAGCATGACAGAAAATAAAGTTTTCAATATAATTTTAAACATGTTTAATCAGAAATCTCACATTTTTCTGTGTACTTCAATAACAAAGTTAAAATATTTTCGCTTATACTGGAGGTCAACAGTGGACTACACAAATAGGTACAAACCTCCCAAAATGTTAGCTGTTACTTTCACTTTAAAAAGTTAGTCTTATCCACTATTTATCCATTTTGAGGGAAAATAAGAAGGCTGTTAGATTAGGTACTAGCTTTATTAATACAGATTCTGATCTTTTAAATATAAAATGCCACACTTTATCACATCAAAACAGATTATATTCTTCCTAGCCACTTAAAAGTAAGAAATTACCACTTCCCTTTTACTTAACAGATAAGGATAAGCTTTTACTTTAAAAATTGAGAGAAAATAAAAACTTTACAGGAAGAAAAATGACACATGAAAGTGGAGATCCTTTTGCTGGGAGAAAGGGAGGAGGCTTTTTGGGCTGTGAAGACAGACTATGCTTGTCTCAGAAAACCAGTCACTGTCATACAGATACCATCAGAGTATAAGACGTCACTGTAGCAGACTCCACTCTTCAGCTGCCAATACTCTTGCATACAAATGATTTAATAACATAGTTGCAGAGCGGCTCATTCCTTATTTGTGATGTGGAACAAACTATCATACATACCTAAATTATCTTAAATAGCTCTTAGAACAGCATGGGAAACAGTGAACAATCAGGTAAACTGTGGTTTAAAAGGGGTGGAAATGATTTAAATAGAATTAATGCTCATTAATAAAGTTCTCAAAAAACTTTAATAACCGAGTCACCATCTATTTAACTATGTAATGTAGAAAATTTCAGAGAAGCAAAGCAAAATGAGAATGAAGTCAGGCACACAGACTGGCCTGATACCAAAATAAACACTAAACTTTAAAATTACAATGGATACCTGCATGAGATCAGTTATACCAAATTCTAATAGTTTTTTTCAAAATAATTCTTTAAAGTAGACTAGAACTCCTGGGTAATGATATCTGTTAAAGCCCTTGATTTAACTCATCCAGAAAGAATCTCCACTGCCGAATACAGAAATCATCATTTCACATCTTCATCCACATTTATAATTTTTAAAGATCTTAATTCTCAAAATCACATTGTTGCTAGAGTGCTTTTTTAACTGCTAGTAAGACTGAACTCAAAATTTCTGCTGGTCATTTTTATTTAATGAGTAACCTATTCTGTCTTAGTGAAGGGTGTGTATGTGTGCTGTCCTTCCATGTATATACAGGTATGGTGTTAAATATTTATCTTCATATGTGTGGGTTACACATGTGTTAACTGTAATCAATTAAACACGATTAACACCTGTTTAATCATGCACATATGTTCCTATGTGGAGGTCTACGGTTCACATCAATAATCTACCATAATTGTTCTTCCATCTTATTCATTGAGGCAAGATCTCTCAAATAAATACAGGGCTTGAAGATGTGGCTAGTCATGTCAGCCAGGTTGTAGTGGGGCCCCCTAGCTCTGTATTGCAAGGCTGGAATTATAGACAAACCTCCACATCCATTCATCATTGACATGGCTTCTGAGATCCAAACTTAGGACTTCTTGAGCACCAAACATGGTAACAACTGAGCCATCTCAACAGTGTCTGACCTACTGAAGTATGTAACACTTCTTTACCAATTAAAGATATTAAACCTATTTAATTTGTTATTAAAATATTTCCTATGTTTATCATTTTTCTTTCAGATTTTGATAAACCACATCACATTGAAGTTCCTATCATGATAAACCATCTTTCATGTATTTTTGTTTGTTTGTTTCATGCCCAACAAGACCTCTTTGACATAAAGATTAAGGAAGGAAATTAAGGAAATAACTGAAAATTTTCTTCACTCATTTGAAAGTAGGCTCATTTTTTTTTTTTTTTTTCAGAGCTGGGGACTGAGCCCAGGACCTTGTACTTGCTAGGCAAGCACTCTACCACTGAGCTAAATCCCTAATCCCATAGGCTCATTTTTATCAGGAAAGAGTATTATGATTTATTTCTAAATAATTAAACTACTTTATTTGATAAATACTCCATTTTCAATTATATCATAAGGTGAATACCTAACTTTCCCTAAGAGTTCTGAAATGCCATCTTTTATTACAAATTGAATGTTTACCCCATATTTTTTCACTGGTATGCTAGGTGGGTTTTGTCTACTTGATATAAATTTATACATATCTGGGAAGAGAAACTCTTAAGTGAGAAAAAGTCTCTAAAATATTGGCATATTCTATTGCCATTGCCTTAGTTGCCTCCCAGAACTTGAAGGTTAAGTCCTTATTGCTTAAAACATCACATATGCTGGACACAGGACTCGGAGGAACTGAGGGGAAATGACCCGGAAGCTCTCTCTCAAAGACTAGTTGTCAGAGTATTGGGAGGGGACAAGCTATAAAGACAAAAAAAGCAATCAATAGTTCTACTACAACGATGGCCACGCTGGCAAGATGCTCACAAAAGCCCGTCCAATATATAGTGCCAATTATATCTCGGGGAGGAGCAATGCTCATTTCACTGGACTTCAGCCTCTCTCAATAGGAGGGAATTCATGCTTCACATTATAAACCTAGACAGCTAGCTGTGGTTGGAGGGGTCACAGACCCTAGTTCTGCCCTTTTCCTAAACTAATATAATTCTGTTTCATTCAAATACATATCCTTATAACCAAAGGTAAGTGTAATTCTGATCCATCATCAAAGAAGTTTCATTTTACATTTCTGAGACTAGTTCAGAGAATCACACCTAGTAAAAACTCAGAGACTAAGTGTCAGGGACATACAAATCCATTTCGTATATTTACAGTGCAACCACCAACATGGGCTTGGGTAAAACCTAGGAAAAATGTTAGGAAGATTGTTAGAGCCAGAAGACAGGATGCCTGCCATTGAGGGTCTTCTAGAGCTATCAAGAAAAATGCACCCATGAAATATCAACAGTGTGGTTGCCTAAAAAAGCAAGGCATAATCACAATATCACTTGTAATACTAATGTGGAGAGGGGAAACTTCACAAGCCCCCAACCAAGAGATGATTAATTGCTATAGGCAATAAATTGCTGCTAAGAAAAAGAAAATCAGTTTTCCGCAGGATTAAGTTACTTTATAGTTTATCCAATCCCAAATAGTCAACCATAAACATACATACATAGGAACATTATTAAACAAATGCCATATGCGGTATATATGCATTCATATGTGTACATATGTAACAGTAACAAATGAGAACAGATACTAAATTTGAAGGGGAGCAGAGAGGATTTTTGAAGGAAGAGAGGGAGAGGTGCAAATGATGTGAATAAAGTACTCATGTATGAAATTCTCAAAATATAAAAATACTAAATTTAAAAAAGTAATTATTTTTATCTCTGTGCATTTGTCTTCTTTAAGTATTGTTGACTGTTTAGCTTCTGTGGGACTCCTTTCTCTAAATGTTCCAATCATTCAAATATCATTTGTTAATTGCTTATCACATGACAAATGCCACATGAGCTAGGGACACAACAATTAAAGTAGGCTGGTTCCTAACCTCAACGGGGCTTTGTTCATTAGCAGGAGACACACATTAATAAAATGAGTATTAAAATGGTTAAGTTACAAACTAATCTGTGTATACACAAAGATGCGGGCATCAGTATGTGTATATATTCAGCCCTCTACATCCAAGTTCTGCACCTGTGGCCTGAACAACCACAACCGGAGGGTTGAAAATGGTACCAAAACAGGGGGCTGAGGATGGGTGGGTCAGTCAGTGAAGTTCTTGCTGCACAAACCTGAGGACCTGAGTTCGATCTTCAATCCCATGTAAAAAAGCTATGTGTGGTGGCATGCATATATAAGACCAGCCCAGGGGACACTGAGACAGGAGGATACCAGAGTAAACTATAAAGTAGCTTAATCCTGCAGAAAACTGATTTTCTTTCTCTTAGCAGTACAGTCAGCTAGCTCCAGACTCAAAGTTCCTGTCTTGAAAAATATATTAGAAAACAACTGAGGTAGACACCTAAGTAGGCTTCTACCCTACACACATACACATGCACACATGGGAAATACACACTCACAGCACAAAATAATGAAAAGGAATTGCATCTATACACGTATACACACACAAAAAAAGTATGAAATAATTCAAAGAGACTGCATCCACACTAAACTTAGTCTCCTTCTTTTCAGTTTTTTCTAAATAATACCATTTAGAAATTCTTTACATAAAACCGATATTAGTTATTATAAGTAATACAGAGATTTCATTAAGTATATGGTAAAATTTATTGTAGGCAATAAAAATTTAGAGTCATTTATACAGTATGAAGATAGTATTTTTTTGAAAAAAAATCTTACTATTTTATGTGTATAAGTGTTTTGGCTGTATGTATGTCTGTGCATCAAATGTGTGCCTGGTACCCATGGAGGCATGAAAAGAGCTGGAGTTATGGATAGCTGTGAGTTGTTATGGTAACTGTGGGAACGGAACCCAGGTCCTCTGGGAGAGCAGCCAGTGCTCTTAGCTGCTAAGCCATCCCTCTATCCCCTAAGAGAATCTTTTAGAAGTTTAGTTTTTAGTTCTAAAAAAATCTACAGCATTTCTGAAATACCTGAGACAAATATTAGTTTTTTTGTTTTGTTTTGAAAGATTTATTCTAAGCTGGGTGGTGGTGGTGGTGGTGGTGGTGGTGGTGGTGGTGGTGGTGGTGCACACCTTTAATCCCAACACTTGTGAGGCAGAGGTAGGCAGAGTTCAAGGCCAGCCTGGTCTACAGAGTGAGTCCTCTACAGAGGACAGTCAGGGTTGTTACACAGAGAAATTCTGTCTTGGAAAAAAAAAGTTTATTTTAATTTATATGTATGAGTTGAGTAGTCATTCATCCTTACATGTATGTCTGTTCACCAACCATGTGCAGTGCCCACAGAAGCCAGAAAAGAGCACCAGATCTTATGGAACTGTAATCATAAACAGTTGTTAGCATCCATGTGGATGCTAGGAAGTGACCCAGATCTTCTCTAAGAGCAACACATGCTCTTAACTACTGAGACATCTCACCAGCCCAGAAAAATTTTAGTCTTGCCCTTTAGTCTTGCCCTCAATTTTAGACTAGTAAGATGTGATTAATAATTACAAGTGGATAAAGGACAGAGCAGAATGATAGAGTGCTCAAAACACAAGGACCTGGCTTTAACAGGAAAAAGAAAATTACAACACAATTCAGATAAACAAATGCAGATGGAAATGGCAAGCATATACACAACTTTAAAAGAGAAATGTCCATCAAGTACAGTCATGACTGGACTTGAAAACAGTCACAACTGTATTCTTAGTATGTGTACTATAATGTCGTCGTCGTCCCCCCCCCCCCCCCGCCCCGCCACACACACACACTCTGCCTCCTTGGAGCCGCTGTCCCTGCATGCTCTTTTGTAGTCTCTATAATCCACACCAACGCCTGTGAACACAAAGGTAACAAAGTTCCCTTCCACAGCCTGTAGGCTCACAAAATTGAACCTGTTCTTTTATCTGCCTGTGCTCATTTAGCCCACCAAGCAGTCTTTATTAAAGCTGCGACATCAGGCAGTCAAAGTTCATTAATACCATTTATATAATCTCTGCAATTTCAATTAACTCAGCAAGACATTCTACTACATGATAACAGTCTCATTAATTCAATAAAATCCCATAACTATTAACAATATGGTCGATGTTAAACGGGGTGTCACCTAGTACAAAATAATAGCTTTAACAGCTTGTGATGAAACTGAAGGCTTTTTCCACTTAAATTTGATACGGCTAAATATTCAATCCTTCTACAGCAAGGTATTATTTCTCTGTAAGAAAAAATCTATAGGAATTTAATATGTAGAAGGGGTAATCAAGTCTTTTAAAGTGAAACCAAGGTATAAGATGTCAATACTTTTATATTCAGTAATTGATAGGCTTGTTTTAACTTATCTAGAAATACAATCTTCCATACTCCTATCTAGTCTCTCATATAAATATACTTACTGGTCTACATACATCAAATGATGGAGTGTGATGCTACATTGTTTTCTCTGTGCAGAACTCATTTCTATTATTAAAGACTTCCTGATTTAGTTCTGTACTTTTCTAGAGAGAACTGAAGAGACTGAAGGCACCAAAAGATGGAAAGACCCACCCCACGTTCATGGATTGATGGGATCTACATTGTAGAAATAACCATCCTAACAAAAGTATTAATCGATCCAACGTAGTCGTTATTAAAATATCCATAAAATCATAAAATTCATAGAAGCATTAAAAAAACCAAAGCAATCCTGAGCAAAAGCAATCTGAGAAAACTGACCGTGTCAGCTGTCAGGCCATACTCGGACAGCACGACATAGCACAGAACAGATGTGCAGGTCAAGGGAAGGAAGCAGAAGACCCAAACTCGAGTCTGTCCTGGGGCCTCTTCAGCCCAATGCTCATCTTTGAGGAATTACATGGGAAAGTCCTATGGCCAAATTTAATAAGGTATACATCCAGACTGTTACTGAGATCATACATTTATATTTCAATTTCCCCACTGAAAAACACGCTATTATTTTTCTATTCAAAAACATTTACAGTTTTCCTTATACAGCTTTTATAACTGTATTATCAAATGTATCTTCAGACATTTAAATGAGATGCATATTTTCAATTTAAATTCTAAATGGCTACTGATGGGATGTAACTAATATGAACATTATGTGACAGAGCTGGGTGTGGCTCAATTCCAGAGTAAAAGCCTAGCTTGTGAGAAGCTCTAGGCTCAACTGCCTGCACTGAACAACAAAAAGGCATGTAACAAACACAGTTCAGTTCTTAATACAACTGTAATCTGGCTTTGCCTTCTTAAAAACCTTGCAAAGTTTAGTTCTGGTTCAATATTGCCTTCTCTATAATCATTTTCTGTTTAATTAAGCCACAATTTGTTAGTCATCAACTAGCTGTAACTTTTGATTGTTTTGAATTTAGTTTGAATTCTTATACATACTTAGAAAAATAAAATACTCAAGTATTTTATTTATTTATACACACACATATATATCTAGTGCAATATAATGAACTTAAATATGAATTATGTGTTTATATATTAAATGATTTATATTACAAAAAATTAAAATGATCTAGTAATCTTTGGTAATAAAATGTGTCAAAAGTCAGGGGTACAAAGAATCTAGTTAGATTCCTTAAAACTTTAAAAAAATTGCAGAACCTTTCTTTCAAATTCTACTATGGGTACACTTCAGAGGGATGGAACACTTGATTACTTTTCACATGATGTCACATATTAACAACTGTTGCATTTAGAAACTATATTTACACACAACTCCAAAAAGTTTTATTACTAAAGTAGTTGCAAAGATGAGGTTTACATATGAACTCCAAAGAGTACAGGGAGAACTGGACACCGCACAGAAGGCAACACATGCTCATGACAAGGAGTGTGTGCTTCTCTGTGCATAATCTTTGCTCTCTCCGACTGGTAAGCATGCTTGCATTACTTTAGTATTCGGCTGCACTTTGGACAAAACAAAGGCTACACTATTGTCCTGTCATTTGTCTGAGTCAATGAGCGCCACATGTAAGATACTTAGTTCATTACCTGTTTATAAAGCAACTGTTCATTTTCTCTAGCATAACAGAACAGAACATCTGTAAGAATTTTTCTCACATTTTCTTGTTGGAAAAACTGCATTTCAGGAAATCTGAAAAAAGAAAAAAAAATGAACAGATAGTGAATCTAACTAGTAGTTCCAGTATTATCCCCAGATTCTCATCTCTAAAATGTTCCAAGGTCTGCAGAACATTTCCCCTCAGTTCTGACAACTATGATAGGCTTAAAAAGAGGTGATAAAGGAAAAGAAAAAACATTAAATTCCACAGGCATATGACATCCTTCAACAGCTAAACATTTCATTATTTTTCCATATTCTTAAATAATTTCATGTAGGAATTATAGTGATTTTACAAATAAATGACACAGTCAACCTATTTGGAGGTGAGAAGTTGCTTTGTTTTTAGTCTGTTTGTGAAGAGTTGTCTGTTTCTTTTAGAGAAATAGTTTGGTCTCAATAAATAGCCTAGTCTAGTATGGAAATAGTGATCCTCCTGTCCCAATTTCCTGGGTACTATAATTACAGGTATATGCCACCACATCCAGTCATACCATTTGTTTTTTTTTTTTAAATATAATATGTATAAGTAATAACTTTCAAAAATAATCATTGTCACTATTTTTCTTGGTATCAGGGTTTCAACCGTACATTACAGTACCATCAGTTTTATCTGATTAAAATGTAGAATTAAATGGAACACAAGTGAGTAAGCCTTGATTAAATTTTTCTGCATCAAACACTCACAAGGTGCTTTGACATACTGTGAAATATAAAAAGGAGGATGATCTGCTTGAAAAGAGTTCAAGAAGTTATCAGAGATGTGACAATGAACAGCAGAAAGAAACCAATGAGCAAACACAGCAATAAACAGACAATGTAAGGGTTAGAGGCATGTCATCTAGGAGTGTCAACTGGGTTCAGTCAACCATTGTGGGGAAGAAGAACATGGAACACTGGCATGAAAGGCAACTAGGTCAGAAAGAAGGATAAGAAGGCAAACAGGACAGTCAGTATATCAAACAGATACGTGGAAAAGGAAGGAGAAAAGGAAGTTACATGAAATAGTGACAGAAGGGAGCACAGATTTGGTACAGAAGAAAAGGTGGGGCAAGTTAGGAAAAAAGGTGTAACTGAATTTATACCTCAGTAACACAATTCAGTGAATCTACATTTTTTTTATTAGAGGAGTGATAAAAACTATAGGCAGGACCTGATAGAAGAGAAAGTAGAAAGTAGCCTTAAATGCATTGGCACAGGAGACAACTTCCTAAATATAACACCAGTAGCATAGACATTGAGATCGGCAATTACTAAATGGGACCTCCTGATACTAAAAAGCTTCTGTAAGGCAAAGGACACGATCAAAAAGACAAAACGACAGCCTACAGAATGGGAAAAGATCTTCACCAACCCCACATCTGACAGAGAGCTCTCATCTCCAAAATATATAGAGAATTCAAGAAACTAGACACCAAAATACCAAATAATCCAATTAAAAAATGGGGTACAGATCTAAACAAAGAATTCCCAACAGAAGGATCTCAAATGGACAAAAGACAGTTAAGGAAATGCTCAACATCCTTAGTCATCAGGGAAATGCAAATCAAAATGACTCTGAGATACCATCTTATACCTGTCATAATGGCTAAGATCAAAAACACTGATGACAGCTTATGTTGGAGAGGATGTGGAGCAAGGTGGGAGTGCAAACTTGTACAGCCACTTTGGAAATCAGTATGGCTGTTTCTTAGAAAATTGGGAATCAATCTTCCTCAAGACCCAGCTATACCAATCTTGGACATATACCCAAAGGATGCTCAATCATACCACAAGGATACATATTCAACTATGTTCATAGCAGCATTATTCATAATAGCCAGAACTTGGAAACAACCTAGATGCCCCTCAACTGAAGAACGGCTAAAGAAAATGTGGTATATATACACAATGGAGTACTACTCAGTGGTAAAAAAAACAATGACATCATGAAATTTGCAGGCAAATGGATGGAACTAGAAAAAAAATCATCCTGAGTGAGGCAACCCAGACCCAGAAAGACAAACATGGTATGTACTCACTCATAAGTGGATGATAGATATAAAGCAAAGGATAACCAGGCTACAATCCACAGCCCCACAGAAGCTAGGTAAAGAGCAAGACCCTAAGAGGAACACATGGATTGCCCTGGGAAGGGGATATAATTGAGATATGGATAAATTGGGGGTGGGAGCGGGGTAGAAAGGAGGGGATGGTAACATGAGGGATTGGGATGGTTGAAGGAAGAAGGATGGAGAGAGAGAGAGCAATGAAAGAGACATCTTGATAGAGGGGGCAATTATGGGGTTAGGGAAAAAACTGGTGCCAGGGAAACTCCCAGGAATCCACAAGGATGACCCCAGCTAAGACTCCTAGCAATAGTGGAGAGGATGCCTGAACTGACCTTCTTCCCCTATGATCAGATTGGTGACTACCCTAATTGTCATCATAGACCCTGCATCCAGTAACTGATGGAAACAGATGCAGAGATCCACAGCCAAGCACTCAGCCTAGCTCCAGGAGTCCAGTTGAAGAGAGGGAGGAGGGCTCATATGAGCAAGGGGGGTGGGGAGTGATCAAGATCATGTTGGGGTAACCTAGAGACAGCTGACCTGAACTACGGGGAGCTCACAGACTCTGGACCAATAGTTAGGGAGCCTGCATGGGACTAACCTAGGGCCTCTGCATGTGACAGTTGTCTAGCATGGTCTGTTTCTGGGGCCCCTAGTAGTGGAACAATGACCTGTCCCTGGTGCATGATCTGGTTGTTGAAACCTATTTCCTATGGTGGGATGCCTCAGTTAGCCTTGACGCATAGGAGAGAAGCTTGGTCCTGCTTCAACTTGATATGTCATGCGATGTTGACTCCCATTCGAGGCCTTACCCTTTCTGAGGAGTGGATAGGGGGAATAGAAAAGGGGAGAGGGAATGGGAGGAGAGGAGGGAGGGGAATCTATGGCTAGTATGTAAAACAAGTAAAAAAATAAATAAATAAATAAAAGACTATAGGCAGGAATAAGCCTGAAGAAGAGTGTGTCAGGAAGTAGATGGTGTATTATGAGAAGAAATAAAAACTCACAAATCCAAGTAGAAAATCCTGTGTTTAAATTCATGTTGCTAATTTTTAGCTGGGGCAAGGATGGCTTAGAGCTGCACCTACCAAGTAGGAGACAGAGGTGGTACTGATCTTCTGATAGAAGAAGAGCATAGAACAATGCCTGCAATGGAGTTAGAGGGCATTACTACTATCTAGAACATGGAGGGAGGGGGCATTATTACTACCTAGAATATGGAGTCAGAGGGCATTACTACTACCTAGAACATGAAGGGAGAGGACATTATTACTACCTAGAACATGAAGGGAGAGGACATTATTACTACCTAGAACATGAAGGGAGAGGGCATTATTACTACCTAGAGTATGGAGTCAGAGGGCATTACTACTACCTAGAACATGGAGGGAGAGGACATTACTACTACATAGAACATGGAGGGAGAGGGCATTACTACTACATAGAACATGGAGGGAGAGGGCATTACTACTACCTAGAGTATGGAGTCAGAGGGCATTATTACTACCTAGAGCATGGAGGCAGAGAGAATCACTGCAAATGGCAAGTACTCTTCAGTAGAGTCTTTTAAAGACTAGTTACATCTGAGTACTCCATATTACTAAAGCTTACTGCTTTCTTTCTGAGGCCTTGGCTATTCTGTGCTTCATACCCGTCCAGTGTTGGCTAACTGTGGGTGTCAGCAATTCCTGTAGCCAGGCAATGCTTGCAGTTGAGCTATGCTAGACATCAATGAGGAGTAGTTTTTTCAGATCCTATTTCTTATATAATTGAGGGAATTTCTTCTAAGTTTATACAACTTCTCTTAAATTTTCCTTTGATGTACAGGTATGCCTAGATTCAGGGTTCCGGGTTCTTCCTTAGCAGCAACAGGAACCTCTTCGTGGGCCGTGAAACAACCTAAGAATCTGAACAAGGTGAACTCATATATCTGTGCATGAACCTTAAGGTGACAACCCTCCAGATACCCTAACTCCCCATCTGACCTGCAGGCAGCAATCAGGATAAAGAAGAAGTATACAATTAACGAAGTAAACTGCTATTCTTAGAGAAACAGCCATTAAGGGAAGAATAGAACAATATATTTTAGTGAGGAAATTTCTGTGTCTGTCTCTCATGATGTGACTTAAGCTTATTTCAGTTGTTAAAGTACATGCAGGAAAAAAAAATTTGAATCAGCTGGCTCAATAATTTTGTGTACTCCCATTTTTGTCTATTATTTAGAAATGTTCTATGCACACTGACAAAAATAAGAACTGTTTGGGTGTTGCAATACAATGATCATGGAAAAACAATGAAAAACTGTTATACTCACTTTGCCTCATATGTCTATGAATTATGTATATAGTTGCCACCTAAATATGAAAAATTGAATTACATTGTACACAATTCATGGTTTCATTTAAAGGCATACTAATCACTTGGAAGATTAAAAGTGAGAGAGCCATGAGAATTAAAATTCAGATAGATAACTGAAATTGTTCATCTTTAGTAAGTATCAATCAACTGAACAAGTGTTAGGCAGCAGCGTGTTACTCAAGAGCACATCTACACATCTACTCTCCAATGCTCAAGTGCCAGTTCATGAAATTTCAAGTTACCCTATATATTTTATTTTATTTTTTGATTAGCATGACTTGTTCTTTAAATTCTGTTGAAACCACTGCATTAAGTAACTGAGGAAGAAATATACAGAAGAGTTCTGAAAAAGAAACACAAGTATGTGCTTTTTCATAAGTTAGAAAGAGAACTGATATTCACCAAAATGTAAACTGGAGAAATCCAGAAATGATCCAGTCCAACTCAGACTAATTAGCAATCAAATTGACCCTAGAGAGATTAGTAATGGCCAGACAGCAGAGCAACAGGACTAGGCCACTTCATCCCTATGGTTATAGGAAGCCTGAGAAGGGCACTTCCAGGAAAAAATTCATGATTTGAGATGCACAGAAGAACCAAGTTCAGAATATTGATCAAAAAGTA